AAGATGAATCTGGGATAAATGACACTGTAGTCGAGGAACAATTAGCCTTTGCAAAGTACATGGCTAGAAGATGGGGAAGAATAGTGAACCGATGATCGACGGACCTAGTCAGAAGAGAATCGAGATTTAGTGTGTCGTTATTGTTGCTGTTTTATCGACCTCATCTGAAGCTAACATAGCTTAAACAGCAGAGTAACCCAGATTTATGATATCTGACCGTTATAAATGGTACCTCAGATTGATACTAGGCTATGTTTACTGTTGCAGCAAAGGTCATGTTCCTTTTCGCAAGAAGATTGTAGTCATTCTTGTTACGAATGTCACCATTACTAGTTTAACCGGCTGGAAAGATATCCCAAATAGCTACTCTTCACTTCTGTTGATCACCCGCAATGTTCGCAACCAATTTCAGCCAGACCTTTTTCAACCGTTTGTACCCTACAATGCCTCCCAGACAACTAAAATCTCAGGTGGTTCTGTTTCATAATGTCTTTACTTCAGCTCGTTTCCAGTGTCTTCGCCACCAGTTCTGCCTCAACAAGGTGTTTCAACGTTTTATGCTTTGCTCCAACGCGAAAGTTCCCATGCGAGAAAGGTTCCGAATATATTTTCATTCTATTTTTAGGCAGTTTTATCAAACCAAACCGGGCGCCGGTCTCTGAGCTCATTCTTATTAGCCCACTCATAGTCTCGGACACGATCTTCGGTTTCGAACTTCTTCCTGTACAGCCTACATTCTCTACTAAGTAATAAGTAATCAAATTATCACGTTATCAACTGATAGTCAATTTCATCGATTTCATCAGTTCATCCATTTTGTCGTATTCTAAACTGCGGTATGGCCATCGGATTTATTTCAGTGTTTAGGTAATACTGGTTGTATACTGTTCGTGACTGATACGAGCTGCGTAGGTAGTCAATATGTGTTTATGTCTTCGGCTACTGCTGCAACGCAAGACAGTTGTTTACGTAGATTTGTACGAAACTGCATTCTTGCACGTGCATACAACGTAACATATGTGAAACGGTCAGAATTTTAAAGGTTTTATGAAATGGTCGTAATTATTATTATTGGCTATATATCAACATAGACAGCCGACCTCAGTTTTGGTGCAATGATTTTGTTTCGATATTCATATGAGGAATCGGCTTTGATGCGATGCCTCCGAGATAACTAGCCGCCTGTTAATAGATGAATTTATGCCGCTGAAAAAAAGTATGGAAGGCGAATATCGGCGGAAGAAGGAAGTCTACCACGGACCTCATCGATTTAAAAACATCAATGGTTCTGTTGTGGAGGGGTCAACAACCCGGGAATCGTCTGGAATATGACACGTTTCGTCAATTGTGTAAAACTGCGTTTGCGATACTGTCGTCCGTAGGTCAGTGGTTATCACCGAAGCTGGTCAGTGTACTGCTGAAGTTCTACGCGACGCTAATGTATACTATTGCTTTTGTTACAATCCACGATTTATGAAGTTATTTTTGAACTTTCATTGCCCATTGTTTTGCTCTTTCTTTACATATTTTACCTTCCTACTTGTCGTTTGCTAAGTTTGTAATAACTAAGGAAGATAATTCTTCTACTGAAATCAGACGTTTTTTGGCAGACTAGATATCGCTAGTTGTATGGGCGTTTTCGCTAGGTATTTGTCCTTTTTTCTGACTTTCACCAACTCATTTGGTAGCTGTGTTAAATTATGGCTAAAGCGTGGAACGTAACAGTGAGGTTACATATCTGTTGGCATAACTTCTTTCAGCAGCAGGTTAAGATTAAAGAAAATTGGGAAAAAGAACATTTATTTTCAGTTATTTTCAAACAGAATACTTCGAATAACTTTTATTTTATGGCGTTTTAGGATGAAGATCCAGAAACTCTCGAAAATGAAGAGCTCGCGAAGCTTAGCCTCATCGCAAAGAAGTTTGAAGAAAAATACGTAAGTACCTTCTGCAGTAAGAACTTCAAAAGTGCCATTTTTTTTAAAGCTTGATGGTCTTTCATACGTTAAACTATTTATTATTACATGTTAAGATCAAAGATACTGAATTCTTCATGAATGCTAAAAAATGCCTCGAACGAAGGTTAATATGAGCTTTCCCTCTGACAAAATGGTGAAACTAAATTTGTTGCTCTTCGGACATGCACTACAATGGAACTACAGTTAGCTGACCAACATCATGATTTGTAGAGTGCCGAACCTCTGCTGGAAATGGCCCGGGGGCAGGTCGTAGTTGGACAGTATCAAGGACGAACTGATTACAGCGGAGCTCGGTCGCGCCTATCGACAAACCGTAAACCAAGCTTGGCAGAACGATGGACTTACAGTCTCATCAAATATTACACAGGACCGGAAACAATAACAAACGGTGACAAGGAGACAGCGCGAGAATATCGACACTCTAGCACAACAGGAGTTCAAATACCATGACGTTTTTATTTCCTTAAATGACTTAAAGATAAATAAGGGGTGTATTACACAAAGAAATTCAGTTTTACGCAAATTAAGTGCTTCTACACCCTTCGTGGCATGCGAACACATATCTTTAAATTATTCAATATATTTTTGATGTGAAGTGCTTATACTTTAAGCAGAGGACGGTTGATGTATAGTAGGAAGGACGGAAATACCGGGCGATGCATCGTGGATGTTAACAGGAAATAGAGTGAAAGTGTCATCCCTCTTTGCTTGATTGGTACAATCTGGTCATTCGGGTGTAATCGAAAGCCACTCAAACTATATTGAGTAAATCGATGTAGTTGGTTCAGCACCCATTCATTAAAAGCAAGCAGGACTCCTGCTATTCACCTTTTAAAGCGTCCTTCAAATTTATGACCGCATTAGGTATGCCTACATGGACGACATTATTAATACTCCATGGGATAGGATACAGGCCAGTTCATCAGCTGCATAAGCAGTGGAGCGCAGCAGCAAAAATCACTACTGGTCTCGAGTGCAAATGCCACCTGAAGTCCGGATAGGACTATCTCCAAGTTTCTGGAGTTCCAGATTTGCTGTTGTTAAATACTTCTAATTGCTTTTCTCCACACTGTTAGGTTCTTAACTGATGTTTCCGTTTCCCACTATGCGTAACGCTAGTAGTGGAATAAATTCTTTTACGTAAACTACCGTTTAAACTTCCCTGTACGCATTAACACTGTTATACCGAAAAAAATGGAACACTGTGTCGCCGTTTTGAGTCATGCTGATTTTGATAATGTTCATATGATGTCAGTTGAATTTCTTTGCAATGTAGAGTTAACGTCAGGCATCAAGCATTATAACAACACTCCTGTGTACTCGTTCAATTCTTTCTGAAGAATAGCAGTGAAATGCCGTTCCAGACGTTCTGGTCGAGTTTAAACTAACTTTGTAAAAGCTGTTGCTTTGCGTGGTATTGCAAACCACTTCGAAGCTATGACAGTAACTTTTACGCTTTATGATACAGCGGTGATTGGACACGGTGTTCGCCTTAATTTCGTGCACTTTGCCTATATTGTCACTTTAGATGCTCCGATGGCCGATTCTGAACATATCGTTGATATTAACTGACCGCACTTTGATTTAGGGTCCAAAGCGCGATCGTAAGGGCCGAAAAATCAAGTTCGGCAAAGCAGAGGATTTTATGGACTTGGGTATGGGCTACGACAAAAGTGACCCGTTCATCGACGACTCTGAAGCCGTAACTGCCTTGTTTAATTGTAGTCTTAGTTTATGTGGTTTGTTTTAGTACGACGAATTGGTTCCTTCTACACTTACCACACAGTTTGGTGGATTTTACATCAACAGTGGTCGCCTCGAGTTTCGCGAAGCTTCGGATGAATCAGATGGAGGGGTTGAGGAGGAGAACGATGCTGAGCTTAGAAAAGCCACCAAGAAGGTTAGCTAGAGTAAATAGTCTTTTTTTCCTAATGTATTTTCGCAGCGATGTCAAGAAGAAAAGGCAGAAACCACTCTCTCAGTACCTAACGAAGTCCGTGACTCACCCAGCACTTCTAATTATACTGCTTCCAATGCCAGTTCTTCAAAGCAGCTGAACGGGGCGCAGATGAGCGTAAAAGCGGCAGCAAAAATCAAAAAGAAAAGGTAACGATTTCGGATCATTCCAAAGCCCAGTACTCCTTGTTTGAAACTGTGGAGTATCTATTAATTCAAATAAAAATTTTTATCGTTATGGCAGACAAATAATTTGTCTGCCTTTTGACAGTCTGCGTACAGAATAACAGTCGAAAACGGAAGTTAGTTATCATTAGTCATTAAATTATGTTCTTTGACTAAGCTGCGAATTGGTTGAGGCACCAGGGAATGCCGGTGTTTTTTCTCCGTTCTGGAATGAAGATCTGCAGGGACTTTGTGGAACTAAGGTCATCTGTGTACATGAACGAGAGCTTAATTTGCTTTGCTGTTTAATGGACGAGTTCGATGAGCCGTGGTAATTTAGTCTCAACGTGATGGACTCTGAGGCTTAGTGATAACATACACACAGCGATCTGTGAACAGTATGATTCCGGTTTTGTTTTGTTTCACTTTGATTTCCGAAAGGAATTAAAGGTTATATGTATCATGTATGATATAATTTTAGCTATGGTAGTTTCAGTTTCAGAACTAAAATTTTTCCCTTAGATCTATGACTTGATTAGTCAGAGTTAGTAACCTTTCTTACATTGAGACAAGAAACTTTGCCTAATGTTTCTTGTTCTTTGGTGTTATGTACGGTCGTATTTGACACGGTTTCGAAAATACAAAGTAGATGGCTAAAAATAATTATCTTGTTCACTAATCTTGTTTTCGAGGCCTTTTATAATACGAGTGTACGTGCACTGAGGAACAGATAGCTTTAAATGAAGTTTGTTAAATCTAACAACGTGAACGCTATGTTTTATAGGAAAAATCGCTCTCTGAGCTTTAGACTGTTTGAATCTCTATCAGAGATGGATTATATAATCATTTCATGATGCTAAACAAAGCAGAAGAGCTGCACGGTGCGCAATTTTTTTATCTTCCTTTGGGGATTTTGGTTTTGCCGTTGATATTAGTCATCATAGAAGTATTGCTCTGTTTAGTTTGGAAACCGACGGATAAGAATTTCCGTCGATTAGGACCTCGTTACTAAATCGAAGATTCTGTTATTCGAATTAATGCAGGGACCAGCGGATGTGTTGCAGTTTTTGTGTAGAAAAAACGCACCACTTTTGGGGAGGGGAAAATCGACGATGCACAGTGGATCTGTACTTGCTTACTGCGTTTTGGGCCTTCGAAGACAATAATCCGCTTCTGTGTCCTCAGCTACCTTATGCTTTTGATATTCTTTGATTAAAGTAGTTTTGTGGTCTTTTTTGACGTATGAAAGAGTCATGTGGTAGGATGAGTCATGCCACTGTCATAGCTGACCTTGACGAAGTAGCATGGGAATCAGAAGTTTCATTAATCATGTTTTTGTTTTTTTCCATAAGGTTCGCAGATTATCAGGTGAGCTGAAGAAGTGTCTGTCTTCTTCAAATTAATAATATGACTTAATTATGTAAATATTTTAGATCCAGAAAAGATTTTGCACCTTTCTTTGCTTTCCTCAGTTGAAACACTTTT